AATATCACAATTTCATCCTTCTATATTCTAAAAATTCATCCAAAAATAAATTAAAAATTTTAAAATTATCCTGAAACCTCAAATCACCTTTCTATAACCTCAAAAATACCTATTCATACTTAAATAAATATTTCATAATCATAGGTTTATCCCTACATCTCAGATTGCACATAAATTTAACCATATAGATCTAGATTTTAACTCAAAAGTTCTTAAACATGAGTTTCAACCTCAAGAAAATATTCTATAATATTTATTATATCCCTAAGAGTTTTAACCTATATTTTTAATCCATCATATCATCAGATTAACTATCCTATAGAAAAATCCTAATCAAAATATTTACTCTATCCTACAAAATAATCATATCACTAGAAAGCTAATATTATTTAGAAAATAACTATAAAATTAATTTTATAATTAAATAAATTTTTAAATGCTAATCTAAACAGGAAAGTTAGAACATACCTGAAGAAAAAGAAAATAATCTCCCCTTGCGAGAAAACGCCAAGCAACGTGAGAGGAAGAGAGAAAAATAATATAAAAATAGAATTGTGAGTCCCAAAATTATATTAAAAAAAAATTATATGTTTGAATTTAATTATTCAAACCTTTGGGCCAAAAGTTGAAATTTTCTCTAAATTGCATCTTAGCCTCTCATGCTTCCTAATGCACACACCCCCTCCTTTTTATACATGAAGGCACCTCTTCTCTTCCCTCATCTAACCAATGTGGGACTTAGAAACAACAACCTTCCACCCCCTTTTTTTTGTTCCTTCTACCTTCTCTTTTTTTTTCAACACATACATAAAAAAATTATTTATGTATTATATTTTAACTAAATATTGCTTATGTGGCTTTAAATTTAAATTTTTAAATTCATAATTAAATACCTAACCATAATATTATTTCTAAATAACCTCAAATAATATAAATTCCTATTATTATCATTTTTTTTTCTCAAAACCTAAATTCCACAATTTCTTTATTATATAAAAAATCAGGATGTTACATCCTGCACCACAGTACATGGCACAGAGGAGCCTATTGGATTTAAATTTATCTTTGTGTGCCATGATGGACTGATCATGCATCGCGGCATGTGGCACGGAGGACAATTCTTTAGTTTTTCTTCCTCTTTCCTTGCCCGGGTGGCTGGCCATCGATCCGGGATCACTTTTAAGGCTAAAATCATTACAAATACACCAAGTTAAACCCCTCTAGCCACACACCTTATTAACTCACTAATTATCCTCATTAGGTTAATAAATCAAAATTAAATTTTTCTGGATGTTACATTATCTATGCCACGTGGACTTACAATATACTAATCTCTCAATTAAGGTGAACTCCCACCCATTTCATTTCTCAATCATACCATAATATATCACAATTCCAATCATGCACCATAATGCAATTCCACATGTCAAGAAATCATAATTTCTAATTAACATGCTCAATTTCATCCACATATGCATACTGCAAAATTTTTATTCAAAGAGTTTTCAATTATTCTCATAATTTACAATATAGCATAGCTTACTTGCTCTACTAACATTATTCATTAAATTAATTTATACCCGCTTTATGCATTTTCTAAAAATATCAAAATGGCATCTACACATATAATATACATTTCATAATTTTTATAATACCAAAATATTTAAACATGCATATGAGAAAATTTAGATTCTTGATTACCTCCACCCCTTGAGTAACTCAAAAGGGACACCTCTGGATTCAATTCAATTCCAAGCTTTCAAATGCTCCAAGAGCCTAATAAAGTTTAGTCTACAATTAGATAACTCAAAGTCATCAATACAATACTAATTTCACTGCTTTCCTAACTACTCATTTTACTCAAAAATTTTAAATTTTAATTTATTAGATGACCTTGTTATCTAATAGTTCTATTAGCTTTATTTAACTCTAATGAGTCCAACTAAACCCATTAGCCACTTACATAATCCTCACATTACTCATTTTCAACCTAAGATTTGCTTAAATTAACAAAAATTTAGATGAAATACCTAAATAATTCGCACCCACTATCCTAGCAACAAAAATATACTCCCATCAACTCCATTTCATCCATCTATAACATCCAAAACTTCCCTCATTGTCAAAAGTAACCAAAAATTCAAAATTTTGAAAAAGATCAAATCTTCTGCACTATCCAGAATTTGAAAATGAAGTGGAGAAATAGACTCAAAAAATTATTTAAGAAATGTATCTAGTGTTAAAAAATCTCAAATTACACAACATTATCTTATAATGAAATCTAGTTGCAAAACTTACTCTCTTTCGATGATATTGCGCATGATGCTGTGTCTCTACTCCCCCCTCTATCCGCACACGAACGGGGAAAAAAATGAAATGGGAGAGAGAACAGTCATTCCACCTAATAACCATTAGGTGGAGCACGGGTCACACGTGACCCCATGATTTTAAAAAAAAAAATGATTTCTTTTTTTATATCTCTCTCTCACTATATATATATATATATATATATGTAGAGTATATATTTAAAACCCATTTAATTACTTTCTTTTTCTTTCTCTTATTCTTAAATCCTATCCTCCACACACACGTGTGTGTGGATTGAGCTAATTTTGTATATTTTGTTCAAATAAAACTTTGATAACAATAAACTATTTATAATATGTTAAATTGCAACAATATCTTAAATAATTTAATTTAGTTTCACCTACTCTTATTTATTTAAAATAAATTATAACTTAGAATAAAATTCTTAAAATAAAACCTCACATTAATCCCAATTAATTCCTAATTTATTTTATTGTCTCAATTTAAATTTTTGAGATGTTACACAAGTCAAGGCATATTTCTCACAAGTTCAAGTAACATACAACTTGAGGCATATTATGGTGTGGATTAAGCAGGTTACCCACTCACCAAAAGTTCATGTACAGGATACTTAGTTTGACTTGGGGGATCACACATCTTATGGCAATCCAAGAAACAAAGTGTTGTGGCTCGCTCTTCTACCAAGGTTGAATATCGAGCAATCACCATTACTATTAGTAAGTTAATCTGGTTGTATTGGCTCCTAGCAGAGTTGGGCATTTCAAGTCCTTCAGCCATGCCTCTATATCGTGATAACTAGGCAGCCCTTCATATTGTGAATAATCCAATCTTCCACAAGTACACAAAGCATATTAAGTTGGATTGTCATTTTTTTGGGGAGCTAGCGCATTCATTTAAGTGAAGTTCTGCCATTGAAGGTGGCAGGTAACCACTGGCTTATTGACATGTTCACTAAAGCCCAAGTTAGGCATCACCAATCTTCACGCACCAACTTGAGGGGAAGTATAGAATTGATATGGACTTGGGCCTCTCGACTTAAGTCCATTAGATTGATGCAATCGTGTATAGATATGATAGTATATACTTGGGACACTAACAGATAGGAAATCACAAATTATATAAGATTATGATATCATACATGATACCAGGAGATACTAGGGTTATTCACTTTTACGTCTTCTGCTACTTCTTGTATAAATCATTGTGTACAATTACAGCTTATGAATATAAGGAAAACCTCCATTTTCTTTAATGTTCGTCAAGATTTGGCCTTCTCAAACTACTTCGATCTAGTGAGAAATAAGAAATCATGCATGTATGAGGCAGTGAAGATTGGCAATAATGCTAAAGAAGAGATGATGAGAAGTAAAGAAGGGTTTGAAGAAATGAGAAATCATGTGTGTGAAAATTTTGTAGGGAAATAGAGACGAGTTACTATTTTTAACTTGCTCAGAAATTATTTTTTAGATTGGCTATTTTAATAACCAATTTAGATGTCTTTCAAACATATAAACATTTTAAAATATAATAGATATCTGAACTAGTTATATATTATAACCAGTTTAAAAATCTAGTTTGGATATTAACTTCTAAACTGATTTAGATGTATAACATCTCATCCTTTCATTTATTTACAACAATGTCACCACCTCCTATTAAACCGAATGCGTGTATAACAGTTTAGAGAAGGGAGTTTAAAAAGGATATTTTGTACTAGTGAGAATTGTTTGATTTAATTAACTTTTAATTAACAATAGTTAATGCTTAAGTTTGTTAATATTGATAACATGAATTCATAATTTTATAATATTTATTTTTTTATTTATGTATTTACTTAAAAGAGTAAAAATATTAAAAAAATAAAAAAGCTTGAATCTCAAATTTTGTAAATGAGACTCTTTTTATATAAACAAGCTCTTCGAACCCAACCCTTTAAAATCAAGATAGCTCGTTTTTCCACCTCTGCTTCTACCCAATTTCCCCAATCAATGATGCACCATTTTTTTGGTAAAAGGCTCTGCCAAAGCCGAACAAATTTCTACACCAACATTTTTATTTTGTCTGGTAAATATATCTAATGTGTATTAAATACATATTAATATTAGCTACGCTAATGAGTGCTACTAAAATGCATACTTAAAAATGCACAATCATTTGAAACAATTGAAATTTTAAAGTACAACCAATGATGATAGATATAAGGGGTTCCAGTTGGACAAATATTCTCATTAAATAATTAAGGTCTTATTATTCAAGACTTTGAATAAAAAATTACTCTTCTAATCTTATTAATAAGTTACTTCCAACATATTTTATCAATATTAAGGAAAACTTTAAAACTCATTGACTCTATCTTAAAATTTAATAAGTCATCAACTTTATCTCTATTAAATATGTATACTTTAATAACATTTATTCTCTCTCTAATATTCAATGGAAGATTAAAAAAATTATAATAAAAATTTAATAATGTGATTTATAAACGAGACAAAAAAATTATTTTTCCTGCCTTATAAATAAAATTAAAGGAAGTATATTTAAAATAGCTTCATATATAACCATGCAAGCTAACTTGAGCGGACCTTAATAAGTCAAAGCCTGGTTTCTACAAATTGGTTGGTATATAAGCATGCAACCTAAACCGGAGTAACATATGACATATGGAGACCAAGTATTTTCAAAATAATTTATATATATTATTTAACATCAACAATAAAAGATAAATGCTTTTAACAATAACGTTTGCATGAAACTTATCACACAACCGTCTTAAGTAAACTTACCAAACTCGATAATGAATTAAACTTGACAAATTTTTAAAGCAGAGAACAAATCAAAAAGCAAGCACGTGCTCCGAAGCCAATTATATGCTAGAAGTTGAAGCCTAAATTAACAATGCAACATGAATAGCACCTAGGGTTGTGATAGAATCTTGCTGAGGATAGGACGTGCTTTGCATTGAACCTCCAACGGAATTGCCTTGGGCATCAAGCCTCCGCCACTCTCCCTCATGTCGATTTTTAAGTCGCTGACCCTTTTCCAATCAAAACACTGAATCAACGATGCTAAAGTCAACCCTACGGTTCGTTGGGCCAGGCCTGCTCCTGGACAGGCCCTTCTTCCCATTCCGAAAGGTATCAGCTTTCGGGCTTCTCCCTCCTCATTTTCAAACCTCTCGGGCTTAAAGATCAATGCGTCAGTCCACAAATCTGGGTCCCTATGGATGGCCCATGCATTCACAAGCAACATAGTGCCACGTGGCACATCATAACCCCCTACAAAGCAATCATCTGAAGCCATGTGGGGTACGAGCATCGGGGCGGCTGGGCTCAGCCGCATTGTCTCGGAGATGATACTTTTAAGGTATGATAGTTTAGTCACATCAGCTTCTTCTACTAGCCGCCCTTCTCCAACCTGAGCTTCCAATTCAATCCTTGCCTTGTCCAATACCCTTGGATAGTTTAATAGATACGACATAGCCCACTCTAATGTGATTGCTGAAGTGTCTGTTCCTGCTAATATCAACACCTACAAGACAAGTCTTTTATAATTACTTATTGCAGTGACTTCAAAAGCATGAGCGGTTTGCAAAGTCAAGGTTTAAATACCTTGAATATATATATTAAAAAAAAAGCAGTTTAACTTAAGTCAAATTTAACGAGACGTATGGTACAAATTGCAAAACTAACCATAATAAGGCCTTTGATAATTTTGTCAGTGTAATACTCAGGTTCTGATTCTTGCGATATGAGTAAATGATCTATCAAAGTGTTTGTGCTTTCCAATCCTTCCTTTTTATATCGATGCTCGTCAATGAGCCCTTGCAACAACTCATCCAACGTCTTCCCGACTCTTTGCAATCTCTTTTTGTAACCGTTGTAATCAATCCATCGGAACAGAGGCAAAAAATCCACAAGGTTTGAATCCTTGGTTCCCAAACTAAAAGATGAGATCTCCTGCATGGCATCTCTAAACCGCTTCGCTTCCTCCACGTTTGTCAAATCAGCTTCATCGCCGTAATACCTTTTTCCGGCAACCATTCTCATTATGGTGTTAAAGGTCAGATCTGAAAACATTGATCTCAGCTCCACTTTCGCGAAGTTATTTTTTGACTGCCGAGCCAGCTTGCGTAGCAACAGCTTGGTCTCGTCGACTCGGAGATTCAAGAATGAGTTGATACGGGCTGTTGACAGGATCTCGAGGGAGCTTATACGACGTAAGTTGCGCCAGTGGTCACCGTAGGAAGAAGCAACGAGGACGGTGTTGTTGTAACCGATGTACTTGGTCTTGTGAAGGGGAACACGGTTCGCAAAGATAATGTCGTTTTTGGTGAAACACTCTTCAACAGCGGAGGGAGATGAAACGACAACAGCAAAACGAGAGCCGAGACGGAGAGAGAAGATGGGGCCATATTTTTGAGAGAGGGAATGAAGGTGGCTATGGAGAGGTTGTTTCAGTTGTAGGAGGTTGCCCAGTATAGGGAGAGAAGGCGGACTTGGAGGGAGCTTTTTGAATCGTGATCTTGTTTGGAGCAAGAGCTTTGAAGTGATCAGAATAAGAAGGCAAAGGGCAAAATAAAAGATCAAGTTATCTTCCATGATCGTCCTTTCCATTTTGATACAAATCAACCTGTATGCATTGAGCAATATATATAGAAGCCATTCGTGGGGTAGGATAAGATATTAAGATGTCAACTTTATTCATTCAAGTAGTGTTCGATCAACAAAGGTATGATACCGTGAATATATATATATATATATATATATATATTATAATATTCTTAGAATTCTAAGGTAATTTGATTGACCATCTTCTCGAAGGTCGACTTACTTTGACCAGGCATAAATCGTGAGCATCTTGTTTTTGGCTTCGAAAAGAATATTTAATTTGGAGCCAACTACCGTCTACCAGCATTTTCCGTGCGAATATAAAATTTTAAGGAATGGTTTTAGTTGTTAAAATTTTAAATTATCTTGTAACTATCATATTTAATTATTAGAAGCATAGAGGCCTATCTCAAAACCTGATTACACGTACACACATGTGAATCAAAGTGAAGAGAAGACTTCTCCCCCATTTCTCATCTTTAAAATTTTCTATTGCTCTTATCATATGTTGTCCATATTTCGGTTAGTTCTATATAACAACGTATTTATAATTAAAGTTGAAATGATTTCATTTTAGTTTGAAAATGTTTAAAGTCTGAGAAATGAACGTCATTGCTAATAGTTTATTAGAATTTTTATTTTTTATTGATTAATAAAATCATTTGAGCATATTCTGCAAAAGATATTTACCAACTACTTTAACTTTTTGATATTACATAAGATTTTGAGAATTATTATAGTTGTAGTATTTAGGCTTTTCAACAACTTTTTCCTCAGCTCACTTTCAATTAAAATGCTGATGACATCGGTTTGGCGTACATTTATACACAAGTTTATCAGGTTATATTGGTTTAGCATAATTCGATATATATCACACTATATGTATCAAGAAAATTGGTCATATTTTAGCCAACTTTGGGTGATTCTATATGTCCCCGGAAAAATATTAGACTTGCGTGCGTGCAGTAGTTCTTTCGGAAAGATTTATCAGCAACAACAGGGGTTAAATTTGATAACGAAACCGAAGTCACAAATTCACTCGAATATTATATATGACACAATAACAATTATTAATTTAATCAAATGAAGGTCAAAGATTTCATTATATGATACTTAAAAAGCACCAAATATCACCTCTCATCATATCATATCTCATATCGCTAATTAGATCATTGGTTGCATTAAACTTCTGAAGGAAACGATGTATGTTAAGGGTATTCTAACCGTAATCAGGGTTATCCTGAATTTGAAAACAATTTATCATAATAATTTTCAAACGATGATGAAATTCAATAACTATTGTTTAATCTAACATTCAAAGTTAAGAGTATATTAGGTAATAAATATTAAAATTTTAGAGATTAGTAAAAATAATTTGCACATAAAACTCGTCAAGATATCAGAATCTAACAATAAAATCTTCATTGTAGCATTTTCATGAAATGTAAGAAGCTACAGGGAATGCACGATGCAGTTACGAGGAACAAGATATGAAACTTGCGACACAACGTCACTTATTGGGAATACTAAAAAGGCACTTTCAATTCTTTCACGCCCAAATATCACTCTTTTGTTTGGCCATCATCATTAGTAATGCTTTTCGAAAGTACCTTGTCGATGATTGGATGGCGTGCGTTACACATGGCCTCTAAAGGAATAACCTTTGTTAAGGTAACCCCTGATCCTCCTATCATATCGATTTTTTCCTCACTTATACGCTTCCATTCAAAGCACTGAATTAACAAACCCAATGTTGTACCCACTATTCGTTGAGCTAAACCTGCTCCAGGACATGCTCGTCTTCCCATCCCAAATGGAATTAATTTGTTAACTTCCCCTTCTTTCTCAAACCTTTCAGGCTTGAAACTTGTTGGATCGCTCCATAACTCGGGATCTCTGTGGATGGCCCAAATATTGACTAAAACTATAGTGCCGCGTGGGACATTATACCCTCCAATGGTGCAATCATCTGAAGACTCACGGGGAACCAATAATGGCACTGGAGGGTGTAACCGAAGTGTTTCATAGATGATATTCTGCAAGTATGGCAGTTTCGAAACATCTTTCTCTTCCATTAGTCGTCCTTGTCCTATGTGTGTGTCCATTTCTTTTTGTGCCTTTTTCAACACATCAGGGCTGTTTAATAAATTGGACATTGCCCATTCTAAAGTCACTGCTGATGTGTCTGTTCCAGCAATAATCATAACCTGTCAAGTTGAGTCAATAAATATCGTCAATAAATGCTAACCATATCATCAAAAATCAAGACAATTTTTAACTTCCCACTATCATATGCGAGCCAGGGCTTGGCCTGGCCTAGGAATCCACCCATTATAGCTCTATAGTTGACTGACTGTTGTAGCTTATAAGTAGTTGCATAGAAAAAGGCTAGGAGAGTGTCTCTAAGGGATCGGTCCGTGAGTCTCAATGGAAGTGGTTCCCCCTGGGGATAGGGGGCTAATGTAAGCAAAGAAAGAAAAAGAGGAAGACGGTGTTTGGTAGGGCATTCAGAACCTAGAACCTAATTGACTTTATGACTTTTAACTCCTCCTTTTTGGGTTGGTTATATCCTCTAACTTGGCTCGAGCTAGTTGAATTTGATCGGTTGAGATGCACACTACCAGCCCACACTTCCAATATCTTGAACTATTTATCAGTTGGTTATTGATATCATAAGCTAATGATTTTCGAATAAAGGTTAATTGCAAGCTTTTCTATAAGAAAGCAAAGCAAAAAAATGTCAAACTGCTAAAAAAAGGAAATTAGTTTTACTAACAAAAATCAGGCCCTTGATGATTTGATCCGTGTAGTACTCTGGATTTGATTCTTGTAAACTCAATAGATGATCAACCATGGTATTTTCTGTTTGGCTAGCATTTCGATGTCGATCAACGAGCCCTTGCAAAAACTTATCGACTCTCTCGGAAAAACTCTTGAGCCTCTTCTCCAAGTTACCATAGTCAATCCACCTCAATATGGGCAAAAAATCTCCAGCATTGCTTGCCCCTCCTAACTTTGATAACTCATTTAAGATATTCTGGAACTTCCTTGCCTCTTCAACATCAATCACATCAATATCATCTCCCAGGTACCTTTTCCCAGATATCATTCTCATTATATTGTTAAATGTCATCTCTAAAAACTTTGATTTCAATTCCACCTTGACAAAACCCTGGTAGGAATCATAGGCTAGCTTTCGAGCGAGCCGCATCACCTCGTCTGTTCTCATTTCCAAGAAATGGCTGAGACGATGCGTTGAGAGGATCTCAACCATCATGATGCGCCGGAGGTTACGCCAATGGTTGCCGTAGTTGGTGAACGATATGGTGGTGTAGTTGTAACCGATATACTTTCCGTTGATTAGCCGGGGTCGATTTGCCAATGTGATGTCATTAGTGGTGAAGCATTCTTGAACAGCAGATGGTGAAGTGACAACCACAAACAAACGAGAGCCAAACCAAAGGGAAAAGATTTTACCATAGCGTTGGGAAAGGAGATGTAGTTGGTGATGGAGTGGCTTCTTGAGTTGGTGGAGGTTGCCGATCACCGGAAGACCGGGCGGTGTTGGAGGGATGTTTCTAAACCTCCTTCTTCGGAGAAGGAGCTTGACAGTGAAGAGGGAGGCAAGCAGTATGATTGAACAATAGAAAATGGATGTCATGATTGATTCTTGATTCATTTGAGCTCTTCTCTTTGTTCAGCGAAGGAATGAGTTGCCATGGCATTTTATACTTGTGGGGGTTAAGGTTATTCCACCAGGTGCATCCCCTGTTGTCACGTTAGCAATTTTAGGCCACATTCATTTAATAATCATAGAATCATGACCATTAAATGTAATAATGACAGTATCAACATATTAATGATTATTAATATATTAATGATTATTGGCTTCGTTTAAAAACATAAATACTTAATATATTAAATATACTCTCCCAAATCCTACTATTTATAAATCACTTTTAACATGTTTTTCTGAAATTAAGAGAACTTTAAATTTTATTAACTTTGTTTAAAATTCAATAATTTTTTTAACTTTATCTATGTTATATATCTATACTTTAAAATAAAATATTCTAACATTTAATCATCTTTAATCATTTAATAGGAATAAAAGGGTGTACAATAATCATTAAATACCCATAAATATGAATAAAACAAATATTCTCTCTTCATACTTTATAAATAAGACTAGAAGAGTATTAATTGACATTAACTATTCATATTCATGATAAGTGTTAAAAATTGTGCCTAGAAATATTTACCGTTTTTTTTTTAAAAAAAAAGCAAACATTTTAATGAAAAGCACACTTTCTTTAACAATTTAAAATTTTAAATCCTGATTTAAATATCCAAACTACTTTTAACATAGTTAGCCCTTAGGCTAGCTTTTCTTCGTATTTGTCACAACTAAATATTTAAAATTTATAATTAATTAATGGAGAAATTAAATAACCTTCAGTACTGCTGCACTGCATTTTGCTTGCAGAACAAAATCTACGAAGATTAGCTAGAAAACTGACTTGAGTCTGAACGTAATAGGGATGGTCTAAAACTTCTGAATATGGATGTTTTAATTTCAAGATTAATTATTAATTAATATATGTAATATTGACTATGAGATTGTTGTACTTGTCATTTTATAATAGCTAGTAAACTAGGGAAGGCTCTCTGTATATTTACATGTGTTGGATTATACTTTTTTTTTTGGTTACTTACAAATATTCTCCTGTTATATTGGAGGCCATTCTATTATAACGAGGTACTGTCAAACATTAAATGTGAACATTTCTCTAACAAAGATTTGAACCTTGGTTATGAATGTTGACAAAAAAAAAGTATCTGTCAAAACTTTTATTTAGTTAATTAATCCCTAAACTGTAGTTATCAATGTTTATAATTTAGTCCTTATGCTAGACATGTTTCAAAACGTGAAAACATTGCAAATGTGGCCTGCTGATGTTTAGATGGCACCTGGGAGAAGCGACTGCTGATGAAGCCTAAAGAAAATGCCACGCCAAGATATAAATTTAATGATCGGGAAGGGATGGAAAGCAAGGGATCTATCTGTGTTTTCGGTGCGTGCGTTTAAGGGTGTTACAAAAGGATAAAAGTGTCACATTGCTCAAATCTTGAGTCTTCGTTATCTTTCTTTCATGAATTCAATTATCCAATTATAATTCAGCTAATCTAATTAATATAAATACGTAACTCATAATATGCATACTTTAATTAGAGATTCATGTAACTCATAATGTATTTCATGTTTCTAGTTTTTATGTGTGTTATTCCCCTACACTAAAGATGTGTGATTCATTCAATAAATATGGTTCATGTAATTAGATTTGAAGAGTCATAACGATTGTTACACGCGTAAAAAAGTCATTTCCTTTATTAAAGAAAAAAAAAAATATATATATATATATATATAAGGATTATATCTCTCTCTCTCTCTCTCTCTCTCTCTCTACTTTCTTCCCCATACTGTATACTCCATTCATTCAAAAATATAAAATATTTTTTAAAGAGTTAGATATTAAAAATGTAAGGTATTTTTAGTTTTTTGAGATGTAATCGTTGCCTTTTTTTTTAAGTGCCCCTATTGATAGTAACTTTATATTTATTATAGGGTGTTTAATAAGAGTAAACATAAAAAGATAGGGTTAATTTAAAAATAAGTAATTATTTTATTGAAAAGTGAGATTTAATTAAAAATATCTTATATTTTAAAATAGAGGAAATATATCTCATTCTTGTTAGGAAAAGTATAATATGTCCCTGTATTTTAGTTCTATTTTGCTTTTAGTTCTTGTGGTTTTACTCTATTGCTTCTAATTATCCCTTTATCTTAATCAATTTGCAATGTTAATTCTCATAGTTTAGATGCATGCATATAAGTACCATAAGTTGACATTGACAACGTTATTTTCATTATAACTCTGTTAACCCCTTATTAACATTGTAAAAATATGTTTATATAAAGATAAATTGACCAGATATGATTAAAAATAAAAGTTTTGGGGAAAGAAGTTTTCTTTTATATTTGGCTTGAATAGAATGTCGGAAATGAATGTAAGATATATTGCGTACAAATTAGCAAGGAGATTAATAAAGTCAAATACACATTAGAAAAATTAATTTTATCAATGCTAATTCATTTCTTATGTGCATTTTTAAAATTATATGAACTAATATTGTTAGTGAATCAAGCTAAAAGGGCTTAAAATAACAAAAATAAAAATGAGGCTGAAAACAAAACACAATCAAAGTTGCTTAATCATTTTAGAAAAGGTCTATTTTGTCTTAGAATACTGCCACTTGTTTTCCTATCTAAATTACACCTTTGTATAAAGGTAATAATATAACTCTCTTAAACTCTCTAGGCTTAAGTCTTTTATTTAAGTATAAGTATAGAAAATAAGGATAAATAGAGTATATTCAATAATAAACAATTACTGTCAACAACTCTATCTAATAATGGATTTACAATCAACAAAGATCGAATATAGTGAATGTTTGGTGGAAAATTGAATGCGTAAATTCGTGCAATAATTCTTCTATGTCCATCTTTATAAATGTGCTTATTTATAGTTAGATATGATTAATAATCTATTAGACACATTCAATTAGCCATTAAATTCATTTTCTTCTTCTCCTCTTAGCTTCTTCGAAAATATGGTGATGGAACAGTGCTTTTGGGAGAGTTCTTTGCAACATGGCAAGTAAAGAAATAACGTCAATATACACTTAATGCTCTAATAAAAGTAGATAGATGAATACAGATAGAGTCAAATGCAATATAGGTGGAAACAAATGATTTAATTTGAATAAAGCATAAAACTACCTACAGTCATGTTTAGAATGATTTTAGATGAATAAGAAGGCTAACACAACTCATAGAAATTGAAAGGAACAAGAAACAAGTATGATCTGAAGCTTACATGGCATGGAATGGAAACTAGAGCATTGTTATTAATATTAGTACTTGTATTGTCAATAATGACAAAGAGAGCCGGAAACAAGACAGCTGGTAGAGCCTGAGTAATGCCGGAAGAGTGTTACATAAAAGATGCTAATTAACTCGAGAGATCATTTGTACCAGAATTGAACAGTCAACATGGATGAAAATGATTTTACCGGTTTTAAAACAATACGTACCATTGGATGAGACATGAGGAGAATTAGAGGAATTGATACGTACCACTAAAAACAAGAAATTTGAGGAATTGATACTTGGTACCGGTATAACTGTCCTTGCGCCAATATTAATATCCTTTAAAACTAGAAGGGTTTTAAGACATCTGTACCGATATATACGAGTTTTAATACCCATATGAGTATGAATGAATGAAGCTCAATATACAGAATAAACCCTTTTCAAATAAAAGGATTTAAGAGATATGACGAACTAAGCCTTAAAAAGATTTTTGGTTAGCACCAAATACACTAACCAAAGAAATTTTGAGATTTCATACTAGTACCGGTAGAAAAAAAATAATACTGGTGTAGAGTATAACTTGGAGAATTTGCCAGAGATAAACACACACGGTTTGTTTGTGCCTTTAATTACCAATTCTTTTAGCTAATTAAAACCCGTGAAACAAAATCTTTTTAAATTTGTTATATCAAAACCAAGATTCAACAAGTTCAATTTTGGGTTCTTTTTTAGGTTAATCCCAATCTCATTTTGGTTTCTTCTTTGCGACTTTTTTTTCCATTTTGTGTGTACCTTCTTCCTCAATTTCTTCTTTGTCGCATACTTCTTCTTCGTTCTTCCTATTCCAAAGTTGGGGTTGCTCCAAGTGTATTTTTTGAGTTCAATTTTCTTCATCCATGGATTCCAAATAAGTTTTATTGTTATATGTCTATTTTTTTTATTTGTTGATTTCAGAAAGTTATAGTAGTTTGGTAGTTGTAGATATAATTAAATATTTGCCTTCAAGTTTTCATTCCTGTTTTTTTTTTTGGGTTAACTGAAAATTATTATGTCTCCAATAATGTGAGTTTGTAATCACTAATTACTATTTGTAATGTGAATTTATCTCTATTTATAAATAATACACACGTGAAACGTAAAATATTGAGTATAAGAATTTTGATTGACACATGAAATACTACCGAAAGTTTTATATGTGTATTTATAAATAATACACACGTGAAACGTAAAATATTAAATTTTTTTTATAAATTTCAAGCTCATATATGTACACACACATATATTGCTTGCTTGAACCACATGTAACTATTGCTTAAGTATTCAATGTTACAACTTAAAAATTATTAGAAAAAAAGTCCCGCATCTAATTAGAAGGTATATTAGAAATACATACAAAGCTTGGATGTGTTTAAACAAAATGGCTTAAGTTAGGTTAAGTAGACATCTTAAACATAGTTAATATGGAGAGTTTAACCGAATAACAAATAAGTTTTTGTATCTTATCATCTAACAATGAATAATTTTATCACATTTTAAGATTAATATCCAAAACAGTATATGCAAATAATGAATTTCTAATTCAATGTTAATAAAAATGCTGATTAATTATTTTGAATTATTGTTTACCTCATTCACACAATTGTTAATATTTTATATTTTTCAAAAGTATACGCAATTCCATATTTAAAATTTCATTTTCCTTTGATGCTTTTGTCCTAATTTCTGAGTTTTTGTTATTTTGTTCCTTTCACTATTAATTATATATATGGTTTTAAAAAATAATTGTTGTAACCGTTAGAAATTACGATATATGTATATATATTTTTTGAAAAATTAGATTTTTTTTTTGTGGTAAAAAAGAGGGCGGAGCCCGTAAATAAATATGTTAGTAAACTAAAAGGGGGATTAAAATCCCATACAATCAGTTTGCACTAAAAGGACCTAAAAAAGGGCGGAACACGATCAAAGAGGGAAATAAATCATGGTTAAGTTGGGCCTTGCAGAAATTAGAGATGTAGGCTTCTAAAAATACAATTAACACGAAATCAGGCATAATTGTCTTGGCCCAATCATCGTTCAAAACTTTCGATGCCTTTTGATTTCTCAAACGCAAGAAGAGCGACCATTTTGCAACCCAAAAAAAAAAAAAAACTAAAGAGCGACCTTTTATATTTTATTGGTTGATTTTGATATATAAACAAACACGTCACATAAATCATTCACATGCCATCCCATTACTTCAATTAGCAATTTTTTTCTCTTAACATAAATTGGCTGCTCAGAATATAACTAATTAAAAGAAGAAAGAAGTAGATGGATGATCATATTTCTAATTTTCTTTTCTTTTCAGGATATTCTTTTATTCTTATTTATAAGTCACTTTTAGTAAATTTTACTAGAATTAAAAAAAATTTTAAAACTCATTAATTCTGTCTTAAAATTTAATAAAATCTTAACTTTTTATCTCTGTTAAATATGCATATTTTAATAATATATTTTCTTTCTTTAATATTAAATAAGAGTAAAAGAGAAAACTTGTATTAAAAGTTAATAATGTGATTTATAAATAAGATAAAAAAAATTTATCTTATGAATAAGATTAGAGAGAATAATGGTATGTTATCTAATTCAATTGTAGAAAATTAAGAACCCATGTTCTGACTATCTTCTTATTCCAAGCAATCATGGAAATATGAATTGATATGGGGCAGGTGGATTGATGGGCAAGTAACCAAAGGTCCCAAGTCAAAATAAACTTTCCCTCTTTAATTTCTTTCTACTTTTTTTTTTTTGTGTGTGTGTTAACATAAACGCGCCGTCTTTTTGTTCTCGCGATACTGTTTTATGAATTTGTGCCATTAATAGTTTTTTTTTTTGGGTCACGTTAAAAGGGAAAAAGATACGTAGTTGTGTGAGAAAATCGAGTAGGGAAATTTCTAAAATGCATATTTATTGAACAAGTCGCATGTAAATCATTAGGAAGCTATAAGCAAGAACCCTGCATTTACATAAGAAACAAGCTAAGATATGAAAACTTGAAACTTGCGACTTGGCATCACTGGGTACCCATTGTTTCACGCCCCAGTATCATTGTCTCGTCTGGCCATCATCATCAGCAATGCTCCTTGAAAGTATCCTGTTGATGATTGGATGGCGTGCTTTACACTTGGCCACTAAAGGAATAACCTTTGGCAAGGTGGCTCCTGATCCTTCAGTCATATCAATTTTGTCCTCACTTATTCGCTCCCAGTCAAAGCATTGAATTAACAAACCTAAAGTCACGCCCACTGTTCGTTGAGCTAAACCTGCTCCAGGACATGCTCGTCTTCCAATCCCAAATGGAATTAATTTGTTAGCTTCCCCTTCTTTCTCAAACCTTTCGGGCTTGAAACTCGCTGGATCGTTCCATAACTGGGGATCTCTGTGGATGGCCCAAATGTTGGCTAAAACTATAGTTCCACGAGGGACATTGTATCCTCCAACGGTGCAATCATCTGAAGACTCACGGGGAACCAACAGCGGTGCTGGAGGGTGCAACCGAAGTGTTTCATAGATGATATTTTGCAAGTATGGCAGTTTTGAAACATCTTGCTCCTCTATTAGACGTCCTTGTCCTATGTGTGTGTCCATTTCTTTTTGTGCCTTTTTCAACACCTCAGGGTTATTTAATAAATTGGACATTGCCCATTCTAAAGCAATGGCCGATGTGTTTGTTCCAGCAACGATCATAACCTGTCAAGTTGAATCAAAGTATAATCAGTTTTCCGGACTGAACTATTAACTTATATTTGTATTGACTCGATGACCTTTGGGTTGGAGTATTTTATATCCTCCAACTTGACTCAAACTAGCTAGCTCAATATGATTGGTTGGGCCACCAGTATTCATGTACACTAGCTACTAGCCTGTACACCTCTAGTATCTTTGATTATATGCTTAAGTGATTGATTAATGACATCGTTATTAACCTAATGATTTTTAAAACGAATGTTGCAAGCTCCTCATCAATAAGAAAAAACATAGCAAAATATGTCAAACTACTAACAAAAAGGAAATTAGTTTTACTGACCGAAATCAACCCCTTGATGATTTGGTCCGCGTAGTACTCTGGATTTGATTCTTGTAAATCCAATAGATGATCAATCATAGTATTTGTAGTATGGCCTGCATTTCGATGTCGATCAATGAGACCCTGCAAAAACTCATCGACATTATCGGCAAAACTCTTAAGCCTTTTCTCCGAGTTATCATAATCAATCCACCTCAATATGGGTAAAAACTGTCCAGCATTGCCTGCCCCTCCTAACCTCGGAATTTCATTTACGATATTTTGGAACTTCCTTGCCTCTTCCATATCTGCAGCATCAATGTCATCTCCCAAGTATCTTTTCCCAGATATCATTCTCATTATGTTGTTAAATGTCATCTCTGAAAACTTTGATTTCAGCTCCACCTTGACAAAGCCGTTGCAGGAATCATGGGCAAGCTTTCGTGCAAGCCTCCTCATCTCGTCTGTTCTTGTTTCCAAGAAATTGTTGAGACGATGCGTTGAGAGGATCTCAACCATCATGATGCGTCGGAGGTTACGCCAATGGTCGCCATAGCTGGTGAATGATATGGAGGTGTAGTTGTAACCGATGTACTTTCCGTCGATTAGCCGGGGTCGGTTTGCAAATGTGATATCATTTGTAGTAAAGCATTCTTGAAAAGTAGAAAGCGAAGTGACAACCATAAACAAACGAGAGCCAAACCAGAGGGAAAATATTTTACCATAGCGCTGGGAGAGGCAATGTAATTGGTGATGGAGTGGCTTCTTGAGTTGGTGGAGGTTGCCGATCACCGGAAGACCGGGCGGTGTTGGAGGGATGTTTCTAAATCTCCTTCTGTGAAGAAGAAGCTTGAGAGTGAAGTGGCAGATGAGAAATGTGATAGAACAATAGTAGATGGACATCATGGTTGATTCTTGGTTCATATGAGATCTTTTTCACTGTGAGGTGAAGGATTGAATTGCTGTGGCACTTATAGATGTTAGGGGCAAAGTCATTCCACGAGGTGCATCCCCCAATGTCAATTTATTAATTACAGGCCACATTCATTGAATCATCATCAGAGAAGCAGAAACATTAAAGGCAATAATGGCAATAATAAATGTTTAACTGTGCTCATATACATGTAAGGGGTAACATCAACTGCTCATATTCATGACGAGCATTGAAATCTGTGCTCAAAGGTCAAAATATTTGAGGTTTGAAAAATTAAAAATTTTAATCCTGATTTTAAACCACCGGCTACCTTAAACATTGTTAAAATTTTCTTCATCTTTTTTCATAATTTTTACAATTAACAAGGACCATGAGGAAAGATCATTTGCAAGGGAAAAAAAAAAGGACTAAAGTGCTAAAAATAAAAAGAGATTATATTATAACCTTAACTCATGTAATTAATTGATTAATTTTAATTCATTTGAAGGACCTCGTTCCATTTTCTCAAATTAAAAATCTTTACCCTATGGTGCTTTTTACTAATTTTCCCCAACTCCTACAAGATCTTAGCCTTAAAGCAGACACATAAGTAGATGTAGGTGGTGGTGAGGAAGACAAGGCACAGGAGAGATTATCGAGGTTGCCATGGCGTCCGTGATTTCAAATTGAATATGGTTATTTTATGGTTACTTGTTGCATCGATGAATGAATCAAATTTCACGGAATTAATTTGGCCAGGCTTCTTTAATTGGTGAAAGGTATTGGAGCTCGATCGATTTTAAATGCTGAAAGCCTCACAAAACTAACGCCTGCTTATATCCTCCAGGGGAAATGAATTGCTATGGTCCCTATATTTTATGTTCTATCTTGCCAATACATACTATCACGATCACAACTGAATATTTCTATTAAACTTGATAAAATCTGATAATTACAACTACTCAATAAAACCAAATACTCGAGTTCCCGACACATAATTTCGAGAAAAAATGATCGTAGAAGAGGAAGACAACAGAGAGAAAGAGAAGAAACTACATAGACGAAGGGAAAATGGAAAATTAATTAATTAGAAGAGAGACAATTCACAAAATACTTCATTCCCTCCACGCCTCTTCTTACATTTAATATTATAAGATATTTTAAATTGAATCACTCTTTTTAATGACTTAGTTAACTGTTTTTAAAATTTATATTCTTTTCATATTTATTTTTATTTAATATGATGTTTTAATTAAAAAAACTTATCATTACGCTTCTAGTTAAAAATATTTTTGGAAAAAAACTCATCAATTATATCTTAAAATACTTTATATTTTTAAATACATTGTTTTTAAAAAATGTCTCGTATTTTTTAAAGGAAGAGACATATGTACTTCCTTCTCATTGGACTTATATCATCTAAACCCAATTTTAACATCTCTCGGCATATTAATTGATGCCTCGTGATCCCAATACATAATTTCATTAAGCCCATTTGTGACGCATCATACGGTGGTTTATGCAGGTTATACTCTCTTCATTTTTATATATGAGAGGGAAAAAAGGCATCATATAGTTTTAAAAAATTGGTTAGCTACCATAATTATGTCTAAAAATAAAAAAAATTAAAATATCTTACATTAATCAATATAAAGATATATTAATTGTTTTTCGTAGTTAAGCATAAGCAATGGGGCCGCAGGATGCAGTCAAAGTGCATGTTTCAGAGATGATACTCCGAACATTCAGGAGATTTCAATACCTCTTCCATCAAGCTTTCTTGTCACAAACAAGAACACCTCTGGATGGTTCAATAAATTAGCCATTGCCCACTCTAAAGTCACAGTTAAGTCTATTCCACCCAAAAGTATAACCTGTTTAATCAAACTAAGACAATTTTAGTGTCATAAATCCCCTATCGAGAGGTACCAAATAATGATAATGTTAGATATATATAAAATACAAAAGCTCTCAAAAAGTCATCACACTAATTGATATCGTCATACCAGCATTTGAACTAATTATAACCTCTGTTTATTTTTCGTATACTCTGACGAGGAATGTTACAACACCATCGAATATTTGCAAAATGTGAAATTGCAACAGAATGAAAGTAGTGCTTCGTACGTATACGTACTAAACTGGACAAGACCCTTGATAATTTGATCCGTGTAGTACTCAGCCTAGGACTGTTGCAAACTTAGGATATGATCTATCATGGCGTTTGCAGCAGAACCAAAGTAGTGCTTCGTACGTATACTCTGACTAGGAAAGTTACAACACCATCGAATATTTGCAAAATGTCCAACAGAATCAAAATAGTGCTTCGTACGCATACGTACTAACCGGGACAAGACCCTTGATAATTGCAGTACTCAGCCTGGGACTGTTGCAAAGTTGGGAGATGATCTATCATGGTGTTTCCACCGACTTGGCTACCATTTCGATGCTCATCGACAAGTCCTTGCAAGTTGAGCCTCTTCTTCGAGTATTGGAAATCAAACCACCTCAGTACGGGAGAGAATTCTGCAGGGTTATTGGCACCTCCTAGTTTCATCGTCTCAATTAACATTTCTCTAGCTTGTCTTGCCTCTTCCACTTCTCCCACCTTAGAATCGTCATCCCATTACCATTGCCCCGTGGTCATTCCCATTATAGTGTCGAACGTCATCTCTAAAAAACTCGAATCTGAGCTCCAACTTGGCAATTTCATTGCACGACCGTTGAGTTAGCTTCTTCACAAGCCTCATTCTGTCGCCTATTCGCATTTCCATGGAGGCATTGAGACGGTTCGTCAAGAGGACCTCGAGCGCGATGATGCGGCGGAGGTTGTGCCAGTGGTCGCCGTAAGGGGAAAACGTCAAGGTCGTGAAGTTGTGGCCGACCTGCTTGACGATGAGAAGCGGAGGTCTGCTTGCCAAGACATTGTCATTTTTGATGAAGCATTATTTGGCTGTGGATGCCGACGAAACGACGACAGAGACGAGAGCCATATCAGGATATAACTAAAATGGTCAAGATTGTTAGTAGTTATTACTTGTAACATATTATGGTTTCAGGCCCACTTGCACTCAGCTCTTTGTGTTAGTTTGTCTATAGAAGCCTTGTATCTCAGACGAATTAATTCAGCTCAATAGTGTATATTCAATTTTTCTCTTTATCTGGAGGTTTTTGAACCTTTTTGTTTGGAACCAAAGCTTGAAGGTGAGGAGTAAAGCAAGACAGGAATAGGATAATAGATGAAGGAGGTCATGGTGATTGGTTGCTCATGTTTCCTAAAATCAGATCATCATCTGGATCATCTTTAAAAATATTGGACATCACGCTCACAATCAATGGGGGGAAAACCCTCACATGCATGTTTCATATATATTACAATGAAAATGAAATTAATTTGTGACAAAAACTTGTGATAATTTTTTTTTTAAAAATATCCAACTTGTTTTGGTACCGACTGTTTTGTCACAAACAAGGGTATCTCGATTTACTATGGATGTGTAGATTTTTTTCCTGTAAAATCTGCCAAAAGATTTTGCAATGAACTTTCCATATATAGATTCTTCAATTTGTTGAATGAAGATTAGTGGCTAATAATCGAGGATATGATGGTGTTAATTAAATTAAATAGGACTATTTGAGTTTACTATTCTAGTTCTTTTCCATTGCTTCCCACCCATTCTATATACTTCGGACGGGTATCCAAGTTTGAATTTGTACTTTTGGCATCTGGGGATAAAATGGGGGAATGGTTTATTTCACACACACACAAAACAAGCTCTTTTACACAACAAACTCTTTTACTTTTAAAATTCACTTTCATTCTTTTTCCTATTCCAACTTCAAACTCTTCAAGGTCATGTTTGGTAGGTTGGAATTGTAGATATGAAAATGAAATTGGGATAAGAATATGAATAAAGTGATATTTGGTAGATATGAATCATAATTCCCAAGAATCATGATTCTATAAAAATAGGCTGAATTGAATTTTTTATTTAAAGTCATGGAATCAGGGGCAATTTCATAAAATTGTGACTTTAAAAATATTTTTACCCTCATAACAATTTTAGAAAGTCAATTTTGCCCTAAAAACATATAACCTTAACCACACCCAAAAATGACCGTTAGACATGGCAGACTGAGCAAAGATGAGAGAGCAGTGGGAAGATCGACGACGAACGACGACCGATGCAATCTGAAAATTAAAATATGAAAATTAATATTTTATTTATATACTAAACATATGAGGAAATTAAAATGTTTTTTGTAAAATATTTTACTTATATATAATATCTATCATCTATATAATATTTCATTAACATATAAAATATATAAGGAAATTGAAAAACAATTAAGCTTTTATTATGTTTTATTTTAATTTTTATATAGGAGTATTTTTGTCTTTTAAGTATAATTTTATTTCCATGTCTTACGTACCAAATAAAAGTAATGAAAGGATTCCATCTAATTTTTCTGACATACCAAACATATTTTTGTAATCTAATTGTATTTCAATTTTAATTTCAATTTCAATTTCATCAAAAACTATTCAATCATATTAAACATGGACAAGAGTATACTAGAGATGCGGCATGATAGATTATCTCCTAATTTCTTGGTGGAAACAGATTCCATACTGGAGCCTCAACTCAATACCAGAGATGCACGCATGCATAAACGAGAAGTCCACTTTTCCACTTCATTTTGCCAGCTCAAATCCCCTTCACAAACCAATCTTAGTTCGAGAGATTTCAAGCTAATAATACAAGCATGTGAACCATCAATACCTTTTTTTTCCCCCGCCGACTAATGATCCATTCATCGATTGCAACCTGACACCACTACTTTGTGCGAGGATAAGTTTGGCCCACAAAATTCCACGAGAGTTCCATACGTGGATGCTCTATCATGAAAGAGAAAATGTCTCTTTGAAACTTTAATGCTAGCTTGTCGTATAACTCATTCGAGTTTAGGCGTGCCTATGGACTATGTGTATGTATATATTATTATTATTA